AACCGAGCGCCGGGGAGGCGGGTGGCACAATCCCCTGGCACAGCCCCACCACCCCCGTGCCAGGCCGGGGTTACCGCCGTAGCCGTCCTTGTCCAGGTCCCCGAGACTGGCGATGGAGGCGGCGAAGCGGCCGTAGGGGTGGGTGCCCGTCAGGGTCTGAGGGGGCTGGGCGAGGGGCCGCTGCCCCCCCCCCCGGTAGAGGTAGAGGCGCCCCACCTCGCTGCGCTGGCCGTCGGGGCGCCGGGCCATGTACAGGGGGGCACCCACCAGCACATCGTCCCGCCTGTGCCCAGGATGAGGGTCAGGGTCCCCAGGTTTGGGGACTGGTGGGCACCCAGGGGTGTGCCAGGCAAGAGGGCAGCACCCTAGGGTGCCCCCGTGGGGGGTGGGAGGGGGGGGGGACAGCCCCAGCTCTCACCCGTCCCCGTCGATGTCGGCCACGGCCACCGTGTGCCCGAAGTATGATGCCACCTGGAAAGGGTCTGGGTGGGGTGGTGGCAGTGGGGGGGACAGGGAGGGTGTGCCAGGGGCACTGGGGTGGGTGCTGGGTGCTGGGGTGACAAGGGGATGGGGGGAAAGTTGGGCACTGGGGGGTGCTAGGGTGCTATGGGGTGGGGGTGCAGGGGTGCTGTGGAACACCGTGGGGGGCAGCTGGGTGCCGTGGGGTGACAGGGCAATGGGCAGGGTGGCAATGGGCAGTGGGGAGCCATGGGGTGCTGGAAGGGGGCAGTGGGGTAAGGCGGACACTGGGAGCAGTGGGAAAGGCACTGGGGGGTGATGGGGCAGGGGGTCAGGGTGCTATGGGGTGCCAGTGTAGGGCGGGGGGGGGGCACCTGCTCGCTGGTGACGCTGTGCAGCCGGCGCAGGGTCCTCCCCATGCTGAAGACCTCCACCTGCCCAGAGCAGCGTCAGGCCCCGTCCCGGGGTGCCACCCCAGGGTGCCCACCCACAGCGGTGTCCCCACTCACCTCGCCCCTCGTGTTGCTCTTGTTGGGGACCCCCACCACGTACTCTGTGGGGTACAACAGCCCTGAGTGCCCCCCCCCCCCCCAGCACTGGGGTGCACACAGGGGCACAAAGATACCCCCAGCACTGGGGTGGGCATGGGGGCACAGAGCTGGACAGGACTCCTCCGGTGGCACAACCCGTGTCCCAGAGCTCGGGGGGGGGGGCAGGAAGGGCACCCAGGGGTGCCCAGGACCCATCTCCCCCCCACCCCGCAGGTGGCCCTGGCCCCTGCGCCCGCCGGGCCGTACCTTTGGTTTTGGGATCGTCATCGAACTCGCCCACGGCCACCGAGTACCCTGCAGGGAGGTGGGCACTGGTGACCCCCACCGCGCCCTGGCACGGGGCAGCTGTGGGGCAGGGCTGCCCCACGCCCACTGCTCACCCCGGTACCCGTCCTCGTAGTCCCTGGACAGCGGCTCCTCCGTGGGACGTCCTGGGCGCTCCGGCCACAGCAGGGACTTGCCGTGGAAGCGGGTGAGGATGGCATCAACCTCCACCGAGTACAGGAGCCCTGGGGGACACCGGAGCGGGTGCCAGCGCTGACAGGGCACCCACCGGCACCTGCCTCGGGTGTTGCTGGTGGCACCGGGGGGGGGGGGGGTGCCCCATCCTGGGTGCCCGCCGTGCCCACCCAAAGGTGAACACCCCGGGACCAGCCAGGCAGTGCTGGGCAGGCAGGACTCACCCGTGAAGTAATACCCGCCGGGAGCACCCAGCACCAGCGTGCCATCCTGCGGGAAGAGCCGGCATCAACCTCCACCCTGGGGTGGGGGGGCACCCCGTCATCCCCACTCTGACACCCCCCACCCGGGAACCACCCCAGCCACATCCCCGCGGGCATCCCCGGGGGCACCCTGGGCACGCCATCCCCCCCATCTCACCGGGGTGACGGCCGCGCTGAAGCCGATCTCGCAGTAGCGCTTGTCGTAGGCTGTGGGCACAGGGCAGGGGTCAGAGCGGCCGAGGGTGGGGGGCACCCACTGCCCCCACCCCGCCCACCCTCACCGTAGAAGCTGTCGCGGTAGGTGCTGGCCATGAGCTGGTCGCGGCAGGGCGAGTACCAGGCGACGCGGCGCAGCCCAGGGGCACCCACGAAGCAGGCGCCCGTCGGGGTGCGGAAAGCCTCGCGCTGCCTGTCCACCGCGTTCCAGTGCTGCAGCGGGGCGCAGGCCTGGGGAACGGGGATGGGGACAGGGTGGGTGCCCGCCCCGCCGCCACCCAAGGGTGCCCACCCGCCTCCCGGCCGCCACCCACCACCAGTTTGCCGTTCCAGCTGGTGACGGACGCTCCCAGCCACTGGTAGGACTTGTAGGTGTGGAGCTTCAAGGTGTTTTGGGTCTCGGTCTCGTCCCCTGGGGGAGCAGGAGAGGGGGAGCGTGGTGCCGGGCCAGCAGCGCCCCCCCTCCGGTGCCCACCCATCGTCCTGTGGCACCCACGCACCCGTGGTGTCGATGGGGAGGGGGCGGCAGGGGGTCTTGTCAGGGGGCCATGAGCAGAGGAAGACGGCGCCGGGTTGAACCACGCCGGGCTGGGAGGTGTTGGCGTGGGGTGCCCCCACCACCACGCTGCGCCTGGGGAGGGCAGAGTGGGGTGTCGGGGTGGGGGGGAACGGGCGCTGTGCCCGGGCCCAGCCCCCCGCTATCTCCCTACCTGCCCTCTGTCACGTGGAAATCCAGGGCAAAGCCGAAATAGCTGCCTGGGGGTCCCTCGTAGACAGTGGGGGAGTCCCGGAGGAGCCCCAGGGCGGGGGCCGAGCACGGTCCCCTGAGCAGCAGCAGGACCCCGAGAAGGGCGGCAGCAGCCCCCATCACCACCCCGAAATGTGGCTGGTGGCCCCAGCACAGCCCGTCCCGGCCTGTCCCCCCCCCCCTTATCTCAGGGGACGCAGCTGGGGACGTCGGGCACAGGAAGCCCCCCCCCACACACACAAACCACCCCTGCCAAGGACCCAAAGGGATAAGGGGGTGTGGCGGGGGGGGGGGGACACGCTGCTTTTGGCTGGGGGATGGAAATGCCCGGCCTGTCTGGCAGAGCAGGGCAGGGGGTGACAGCGTGACCAGGGGACATGGAGGAGGGACACACACACACACACCCCAGGCATGGCAGGAAGCAGCACAACTTGCCTGCACCCCCCTTCTGCCCAGGGCCGGGGCCGAATCCAGCCCTGTGCCCACGCCACGGGATGGGGATGCTTATCTCGGGGTGCAGGCGACCACAGCCCGGCCAGCGGAAACGCAGCGGGGAGGGGGGACGGCTGGAGGGTGCAGGGGCCCCATCCATCCTCCCCCGAGGTCCCCTCCACAGTTCGGAGCAGTTGGTGTCGGGGGGCTCCTGGTTCCCCACTCTCGCCCCACCAGCACCGGGCATCGCCACCAAACCGCATCTTCCCCTTCCCCAGGGACACCCCAAAACCCTCCCAGGGGAGAGAGCAGGGCCAGGGCAGCCCGGCCACCGAGCGCGTTGCAGGGAAACGGCTCCGGCAAGGGGACAGGTGCCAGGGTGGGGGGGACGGGTGCCAGGGCGGGGGGGGGCAGCCCAACGAACAAGGGGGCTCCTTGTCCTCGGCGGTGGAAAAGCCACCCCGGCACGGCAAGTCGGGGCTGGGGGAGCTGCTGGGGCCCAGCCCCGCAGTGACGGGCACAGGAGCCCCTCGGCTGAACCCACCTGCGGCGTTAATTTAACCACACACAATTAAGGCCACTCGAGCTGCCGGGGGGTGGGAAAAGCACCGGAGCGGCTCGCTGCCAGCCAGCCCCCACCATGAGGAAACGGGGTTTTCCATCCTTTTAATCTACGCCGAAGCCGGGAGTGGGACACGAGGCGGGGAGGGTGGGGGGGCTGCGGGGTGCTGGGCTCCCCCGGGGTGGGGGGCACAGGGTGGTCCCCACAGCCCAGGGCCGGGGCTGCACCGGCCCCTGGGAGCAACTGGAAGGTGGCTCCAGGCTCTTGGCTGCCCCAGAGCAGCTGCAATCTGAAACTCGAGGGGTTTTGCCCCAAACTGGGGCTGAGCCCAGGCTGGCGGGCTCTGCGCCTTGGGAAGGGTTTAGCTGAGCCCAGCTCAGCTCCCTGCCCCCGGGAGGAGCGCGCTGAGCACCCAGCAGCAGCTGCTGGATGCCTCTTCCCATGCTGGCATCCCGACCCAACTGAAACCCACACCAGAATGCTTCAAGGCAACTATATTGCTTCCCCCCTCCCCATCAAATGATTTAATTTCCCGGTTCTTGCAACAACACTTCTGCGTGTGCTTCTTCATCCAGCCAACCAGTTCCAGGCGCACCCAAGAGAGGACAGCCCAGGCAAAGGCAGGTTACAGCCCCTACCCCACCCCTGGCAACATTTTTTAGGGCTCTGAATTTTGTTCTCGGGGCCTTTAGTTACGAGAGGCCGGTGCTCCCCCCCGAGCACTCGCCCCCTCTGCCACCCGTTGCGGCTGGCGCAGGCAGGGTGCCCCCGAGGGACACGGCGGGCAGCGCCCACGGCATAAAGGACGAGCTGCTGAAGAGGGAGACCAAAAAAAAAACCAAAAAAACAAGATGCAAGGAGGGTTGAAAGAGCCCCCAGCAGGACGTGCTGCCGCTGGCAGGCGCGGAGGCAGCAGGGTCCCCGCGGCCCCCCCACATCCGCAGCGGGGCCCAAGTACCCACCAGCACCCTTCGGGCCTGGCTTCACCTTTAACAGCAGTTTGGCCAGGCAGGTCGGTCGTGGCAGGACTTGTGGAACCCACTCAGTGCGTTCAGGTCTCCTACCCAAAGATAATATCCTTGGGAAAAAAAAAAAAAAAAAACACCACGACCAACCATATATATAATTAAGAGTGCATTTTCTCTGTGTCCAGCCCAGTATCTTCCAAGCAAAGCACTGCAATGAAAAGTACTTTTGCTCAATGAACCAAACATCTGATACTGTTATTTTAGGAAGAAGTCCTGGGCTACATCGCGATCAGACGCAGCAGCTCCAAGACGTCTCATGCAGCCACACACTTTTTTCCACAAATCATTGGTTTATTAGAAAGGTTTTTTTTCCCCTCATTTTACAGCATATATATATATTTATATATATATCTTATGTGACAAAGTTAAATACAGTCTGTTTATGCCTGTTAAGTAATGATAGGTTAATTATTTTTAGCACTATTCTGGAAGTCAAAAAAACCCCTGACTGCAGCGTGAAGGGTGCCAGAACACGCGTATTGAATCTAGAAGCTAATGAAGCTCAGCATTGAGACATTAATACTGTATTGTGTTAATTATTTACAGAGAAATTGAGTCCCTTTTTTTGACCGTTGTGTTTCAGTCAAACCTGCTCGAATGCAAAGTTTCTCGTTTAGAGTGAGGAAGCTCAAGGTTTTGATCCTTTGAATCTCTGTCCCCCCCCCGCCCCGGGGTCTTGGTGCTCTGCGTCCCCTCGCTGCCTGCTCCGAGATCGGGCCCTACAAAGCACCGTAAGATGCCCCCAAACTGCTCTAACACGAGGAGGGCCTGACCCTGAAATACCCAGGTCAGCGGGGACAGCAGCAACTCGTCCTGGTGCGATGGGAAGAGCTCGCGGCGGGAGAAGCCTCCTACAGTTGGTGTGAGCTGCAGCCAGCGGACGGTGCCGGCAAGAACAGAGAAATCCCTTATGGGACGTCACAGGCAGGCAGAGCCTCAACTGGTCAGTCCCAAAGCGCCTCTCCCGGCGCGTAGGACAGCAAACAGTTATGGCTAAAAGGCTCTTCCTCCGCTGGAAGACTGTACTGAACCACACAGCCAGGCTGGCACCTGCAAGCCAGCGGGCCAAACCCAGGGGAAAAAAAGAAACCGAAAAAAAAAAAAAAGAAAAAAAAAAAAGAGGGGTGTGTATATTTTATACTCTGGGAGACAACCCAAATTCCTGACGCTCCTGAGCCTGCCTCCAGTGTCGGTTCCTACAAGCAGCTGCTTGGCAAAGGCGAGGAGCGCGCAGCGTGCCCGGGCTGCTCCCCTCCACACAGCCGCCGGCCAGCGCGAGGCCGCTCATCAGCTCCTGGAGTCACCGGTGTCGTCCGCGCACCTCACCTAGGCCAAGTCTCACTTTTTTTTTTTTTTTTTTTTCTTCTGCAAAATGCTAAATGAAGGTTATTTTTTTTGTTGTTTTTACATTTTATAATACATAAAAACTTCAAAAATACATGAGCTTGATAAAATATACATGCTTAGTCATTTTGCATCTAGCTGAAACTATAAAGTTGAACCTTTACAAGTGTCTTATTTCACCTACAGCAAACATATTTACACAAAAGCCACCAGAACAAGTACCACTAGAAGAACTGGCTGTAAAAAATATTATTGCGGTATACTACAAATGTAACCTTTTTATATGAGCTACAAAAAGCAGCATCTTTGTTTACAGAGTTCAGTGCAATTCTTTACATTAAAAAAAAAACCCTATAAATTAATAAGGAAACCATCAGTATTACAGAGGAAAGAATACACTTTACATACCCCGGCCACTCTCCCCAGTCCTCTGTATTGCTTCAATTCCTAAAGGGATTTTTCTCCTCTCTCACCCAAGTGCCTCTTGCCCAACACCACAAAAGATGGAAGTCAGAGTGATATTTATTTTTTTTCTCCCCCCGCGCCTTCTCAGGAGAAGAGTGCTCAAAGCCCAGACTGAAATCACCGACCCCCAAGGCGCGCACCTCTCCCCGTCCCGGCCATCCCGAAGGCGTCAAGGCGCAGCCCTTGCGCAGGAGAACGCTGATGCAGGATGGGGAAGGGTCAGAGCTCCGGGCACGCACGCAGCTCCTCTCTTCGGCTCTGAAATGAGATCTTACTTCCACCTTTGCTGCTCACTCCGAAAAAAAAAAAACCCAACTAAGTATGCAGCAACAGGGTGCCAAGAAATCTCCTGTAATGCCTGAAAACTGGTACTGGCCCAGCCAAAACAAGAGTGGCACTGCCCTCCATCGGTCGCCTCGCCAGGATCCACAGCTGTCGCTTACTGAATGTTTTATCACTGATTACAAGCCGGATTCAATCATGCTGACTATTTTAATTAGATGACCTCATTAAAAGGATTTTTAAAGACCTACTAGCGTGTATGAAATCTCATTTATCATATACAAGGCGGCAGAAAGAAGATGGCCAAGTGTAAGAATCCAGGGGAAAAAAGCCTTTCCAAGTGTCTCGCTGGTCTACGTGTGAAATGGTTCTTCTAGGACAGGGTGCTGCTACGTGCACGGAGATGTCGGGGACGCGAGACAGTCCCTGGTAGCAGATATACACAACACTTACAAACTGACCCGCCGCCTGCTGCTACCCAGCCCTTGAGCCTTTGGCTTCTTTGGCTGCTAAAGAGTGAAAGGAAATTCTCAGGCCTCACCTCCCAGCTGGATCAACTTCAACCCCTTCCCAAAACGCAAAATATTCTCCTTCCTCCCAGGTTACTTCAACTTGTCCTTCATGTGCCGTGACTGGGTGGATGCTGCAGGTCCTGTCCTGAGAAAATGGGGTGCAGCAACGGGTGAAGATGTAAGGCCGTAGCAGCCGCGGCCGCAGCGGGTCTCGGGGCAAGAAGGGTCGGATAAAGAGCATGAGGGACCGGATGAAAAGTAAAGGGGCCCGGGTGGATAGCTGACGCCGGAATGATGTGGATGGGGTGGCTGGCTAGAAATGTAGCAGGGTGCCCTGGAATAATCGAGTGGGTCAGGTGGGATAACGAAATAGGTGTCAGGTGGGGCTGGGGTATATGATGAACCTGAGCGAGGGGCTGGGGATGGGGGTGAGGGTGAATCCCGATGGCGGCGGCGGCGGCGGCAGCGTGGTGCTGCAGGATGGCATGCTGCACCGTGGTGATGGAGGTCGCCGACGCCGCTGCCGGCTGCTGAATGTGGATGGGCTGCAGGGCCGGCGCTGCCGGCGCCAGCGCCGCCGAGGCAGGGAAGGCCTTGACCTGCTTTGCCAGAAGTTGCTGCTGAATGTGCTGCTGAGCAGCTTGCTGCAGCTTACTGTATTTCTCCATTTCTTCGGGTGTGAAAGTGATCGGCTGGCTCTCGAGTGGTGCTAGAGAGGAGTCCTCTCCTCCTTCCCGATCCCCTTCGATGCTCGGCTCCCCGCTCTGAGGCACGTAGCCAGGAAAGTGCTCGACATCTGGAACTAAGGGCATCATACTGGTTTCCACTGGGACCGGCTGGTTGCCCCCGTCCATAGGTTCTAGCCCATCGCCATCACTCGGATCCGAGAGGAAGTTGTGTGGCATGACCAGATCTCCAGAACCAAAGCACTCGGGGAGCGCCGGTGCTTCGAGGGGAAGGGACGGCATTTCCACGGCAGGTTCATCACACTTCTGCTCATCCAGAGGTTTGTCCTGAATTACCATCACCACTTCTTCCAGGAGAGACTGGCCGGCCAGCTGAGCCTCCTCAATGCCTTGGGAAACGTCCTCAGAATCCGACAGCTCCTGCTCCTCGCCCCTCTCCAAGCCAGACTCCTCATACCTTTTGGCGTTTGGTTTTCGAACGGTTGGCAGTTTCCCAATTAAGGGGAGAACCGGTTTGTTGCCTAAGGAAGGAGGAAGTTTGGGGCCAAAGTAGCCCTGGGGAGGATCTTTGAGCTTGATTCCCACCTTATTCGCCCCTGCCAGCATCTCTTCAGTGACACAGGGCTTCTTCTCAACCTTCCTGGATTGAATCTTTTCCAGGAGAAGTTTTGCAGTGACGGAGTTTCTCTCCTCTGGACTGCAGTCACCTTCCGAGGCCCTCCCCGTGCCAGAGCCGCTGCTGTTCTGGGAGAGGGAACCAGACCCTTTCAGATCCTCTCCTTTGCCATCCTCTTTCTTCAGTGACGATCCTTCACTTCGGCCTGTCCGGAAATAGTGAGGGGATTGCGAGCGGTAGATTTTGGACCTGATGAAGTCCCTTCTCCCGGACCGCCTCTCCTCGGGGCTCTCGTGGCCTCGAGAGCCCTTCCGCGAGAGAGACCTCTGCGAGTGGCTTCTCGTGCTGCGGCTGCGATCCCTGCTATAGCTGCGGCTCCGCTTCCAGCTGCGGCCCGTGACGCTTCGGCTCCTCCTCTTGCTTCGGCTGCGGCTGCAGCTGCTGCTGCGTGTTCTGCCCCGGCTCCTTGATCGTGACCTGCCTCGAGGGTGGGTTCGGCTCCTGCTTCGACTCCTTGACCTGCTCCTGCTCGAGCTGTAGTCGTCTTCAGAAGAGGAGTACTTGCGCCGCTTTGATCTGTGGTTCGAGCTGTTGTAGTCAGAGTCATCCTCCGAGTCGTGGGACCGCTTTGAATGGCACCTTGACCGGTCACTGTAGTCGCTGTAGCTATCATCCGAGTAACTCCTCCGGCGGCTGTACCGGCTCTGGTCTGAGGAAGCATCGGAGCTGGTCGAATAGGACCTGTGAGAGGAGTGCCTGCGCCCCGACCTGGAGCGGCTCCTGGAGTGGTCGCTGCCGGAGTCGTAGTCGTCGCTGTACTGCGACGGGGATTTCTGCCGGCAGTGCTTCCTGTGGGAGCCCTCCTCGCTGTCGTAGTCCCCGCTGCTCTGCCGGCTCCTGCGGCTGATCCTGCCCAGGGAAGGAGCCGAACACCGTCTCCTCGAAGCAGGCAACTGCTGCGAGTCAGCCTTGTGTTTTTTGCTGCCGTGCTCTTGGCAGGAGATACCACCATCCTCTTTTTTACCACTGCTTCCCTCTTCAGCAGACAGAGACTTCCTCTGGGACTCCTGAGAGCATCGCTTTTTCTTCTGGAAGTGGCTGCAATCTTCGGACAGTTCAGTTTTTAGCACTCGTTCTGATTCAGTAGAAAGAGATGATTTGCCTTTTTTGTGCCTGTGTCTTTTCCGTTTCTTGGGTTTCTCTTCCCCCAGGTCAGTTTTTCGGCCCTTCTCGTCAGCTTCCTCCTTGTGTTTACGTCTGTGTTTGCTGGACTTTTTGTGCTTCTTTTTCTTTTTGTGTTTATGGGATCTTCCAGATTTACTCTTACCAATTATGCATTTACTACCGTCCTCCCCCTCTCCCTTACTAACACTTGCCAAATTGGACTCCTGCTTATTCTGGGAACCACAGGTGGACAGAGATCTGTTTTCCATTTTTAGAGCAGAACTGTTAGCTGCACCTTCTGCCTCCTTGGCTTTGCTTATCTCACCAGATTCTGTGCTCTGAACATTTTCTTTACAAAGACCCCCTGGATCCTTTGATTTCTCTGCCCCTTTACCTTTAGCATCTTTGTTGCGAGAGAGCTTGAAATCAAAATACAGGGGGTTACAGCTGTATGAAACAGATGGTTCTGCTTTGGTAAATATGAGAAGCTCTGAAGGCCACTGGAGAGTCGTGCTCTCGTCTTTACTCAGAACGGGAAAAAATGGTCCTGTCGGGTGCTTTGGTCCTTCAGAGACATCTTTACAGCTTGGGGCAGGCTGAGCGACTTCTTTAGTAGTGTCTGGCTCGGGGAGATTGCTCTCTGCAAGATGCTTGCTCTCCTGCATACCTGCATTTTCCAGGACTTCTTTTAGCTCTGTTTTACTCTGCTGAGCTGCAGTTTCAGTAGTACTCTGCTCCTTCTGCTGCCCCATGTTCTCAGCAGCCTTCTCTGTGTGCTTGCTGGGTTTGGGTTTTGGAGAACTACCCTTTTTAACTTCATGCGTGTTTTTTTTATTCACATTTTCAGCTTCCATTTGTTCGGTAGACTTCATGAAAAGCAGGAATTGAAAATTAGGCTTTACTTTACAATGGGCTGGGGGAATATAGTGGTAGTATTCTGGTTCAACTGCCATTGGTCCATCTTCTCGTCTCATCTTTTTTAGTTTAGATAACGTAGTGGCTAGAGACCCACTATCTTTGTCATGTTGGTCATCCTCCTCTGCCTTGCCGTCAGAATTATTTGTGCTTTCGCCCTCACCAGATTTCAGCAGGCTCCCTGCATCTGAGGACCCTCTCTCATCAGCTTTTGCTCCATCTGCAGAACTTGATTCTTCCACGTGGTCCTTGAAAACGGAAGCTATGGTCTCCAGCTTTACCGGAGTCTTCTTAGCAAACGAAAATGACACGCCTATCTTCTGCAGCGGAGTTCCCAAAGTATTCTTAATGCCAAAGCTGATTGCCTGCGCTGTCTGGATGGGCATTTGGCTTGGCATAACAGTGCCACCGACTTGTCCAGTGTTTAGGAAACCTCTGTCCATAGTCATCTCTGTAGCTTGACCAGAAGTCTGGATGAAAGAGCTGCTGTTGGCTGCAGAATCGTCATCATCTCCACCTTCCTCATCCACAGCCACCGTGGTGGTTCTGAACATGGGTCCACTTCCAGGAGCACTGTATGAACAAGTTAAAACAGAAAAAACAGCTGACTGCCACTTGTATACCTCTGCAGTTGGATCCATGCCTCATCTAAAACAGTTTTTTTAGACATTTCAAGTACTCTCGTATCTAGAAATATGCATTAAATTGGCACTACACAGCCATTTAAATGTTTTAGTAATATTAAACTGAAGAAAATGCTATTGCTGGAAAAAGCAATTTGGAGATGCTCTGGAATACCAGTTTAGTGAATTCACTCCTACCAAAAACACAGCACGAGGCCAAACTTAAGCGTGAAGCTTTGCCCTTAAAACTTGCGCAGGATTATAGGAGCAAGAATGTCAGTGCAGCAAAGGCGTGCAGTCCCACGCAGGACTCCCTCCAAGGGTGCTCAGGGATCACCTGCACTCACCATTCAGGCTGCCTCCTCTGTTCAGCCAGCTCATGTAGACGCCGGAGGGCTTTCTCCTGCTTCCTTTCATCTTTACGTGATCTTGAAGAGACATTGCGAGCAAACTCCCTTTGCTTGAGATCTTTCAACCTCTGAGGCAAAAGAAAGCAAGAATGGGTTAGATAAAAGCAGTTTGTGGTTAAGTGTCTGAAAGCATCTCTTTGCTGTAGCACTGGCAAGTACGTTGTAAAGCCCCTCCCAGTAATATTTATTGAGCTAGGATGGAGCAACAGCATCTTAGCTCAACAAACCAAATGGAGCACATAGCCATCCTCCCAGTAGCTAAATGAAAAGACAACTGTTGATCACTTTTGGCTATGTCGTCAAGTCCATATATGTGCATTTCCAATCAACATTACTGGTTCTCTTTAGCATGTACAATAAAGCTGATTTCAAAGCAACAGGCAAATTCTGGAAGGAAAAAAAAAAAAACAAAAAACAAAACCAACAAAACAAAACTGTTTACTTTGCTGCTCTTGCAGGGTGCAAATGTACTTGACAAACAGTGCGTGACAGAAGTCTTAATAGCATGGGCCAAAGAACAGAAAGGGATTAGCTGGTGCAAGAGAGTTACCCAGGTATTGTATCTTACAAAAGCAATGTACAAATTACATTGGAGAAGGTGCCAAAAATCCCATGCAAATGATTCCAGTAAGCAAATAAATAATACAACATACATCACAAACAGTTACTTGCTTTCCTGACAGTAGTTCTGAGATGGTCTCTCAAGAAACAAAATATTCTAAAATGCAGTGGGGTCTTTTGGGGTTGAATACTTTAGAGGGCAGAAACACTAAGTTCCCCAGAAATCTTATCATATGATGAAGTAAACCCAAACCCAAGGAATTTCAAGCATCATAACATTACTGAGAAAATCTAGATATCCAATTCTAATAGAAATTGAACATCCAAGATTTCAGAATATTTTTGAAAGTCCTTGTCTCAAAGCACTAGGAAGAGGCTGCTGTTTTTCCTTTGAATACATGTGAAAATTCACAAGGTAGTTTTTTGATTTTGATTTTTTGTTTGTTTGTTTCTTGTTTGTTTTGTTTTTGTTTTTTTCAAAGAGTGAAATACAGACTTTTAAGTAACAGTAAGCAGCAAAGACAGACCTCTACCATCCTAAGGGATTAATTTTTCTTTTTTGGTGCACAATTTAAAACCCTTTCAAAAGGCCCAATTCCAGAATGCATCATGTACACAGCTTTTGAAAAAGTTTCATGTTTTTCAGGCATTTCATGAAAGACTGAAAAGACTAACAGTACTCACAGTAGTAGTCACTTTAGAAAAATTATTGTACAAATCACTGGTGAATTCTAAATACACCTGGTTGGCTGACTCTGCCTCTTCAATGGAGCAGAGTCACACCAGTACACACAGAGACAGTGGATCTGGAAACTAACCCAAAGTTCAGATTAGAGGAATTAAGTTGGTCCAATGTAAAGAGAACATTGCTTTGTGAAAAAGGGGAAGATTTGACAAAACAGAGGATTCTCTTACCTAATCATATTTACTAAACATGGTTGAGCATTACCAAAATCAGAGGGGAGGACACACACAAAAAAGTACAGCTAGACACTAGTAGAAAGAAACTCACTCTTGTGTTCTGGACTCCAAAATTAGAAGGGTTTGCTTTCAATACATCAGCTGAGAACGTCATATCACAAAGAAAAAAAGAAAGTAAAAATATAACAAAAGTGGAAGAGAGGGAAAAAAAAAAATAAAAAGCAAGCATTACTACACAGGCTCTCACTGTGTCTGTGAGCTATTCTAGGGAGAAGGAGCTAAGCCAGCAAAGCTGTGGGACCGAGCCTAGGGAGTCTGGAGCACAAGGGGGAGCGCACATACACATACACAGACACAGCGGTGATCCCACCTGGAACAGCAGAGCTACTTTCACCAGGACAAGTAAAGGGCTCAAGGGTTTTGTGGTCTATGTTAAACGTTGAAGAGTAAATTTTTTTTCCAAGAGGGAGGAAAAAAGAAAAAAAAAAATGGACTAAGCAGTGCTATCAGCTTTTTCATGCTGATTTAAAAAGCGTATCTAAAATGCTCCAGGAATTTAAAGTCACCAACAGCTGACAAAACTATTCAACTGGGGTTCGATGCCAAGTCTCTTGATCACTCATCCCTTTGGAAAAAAATATGACCCAGCTATTTACAACAGAAATGAACTGTGACCTTTTACTTTAAAGTGGAAGGTGCAATGGTGCACTCAGAAACCCATCTCCACCCCCCAGACATGGCCTTAAACACCTTCCTGTGAAATAAAATGGGCTCAAAGTCAGTTGATAATGATGCAGCTGCCCACAATGCAATCCTGCCTTCGTTACAACGGGCAATTTTAATAAAAATAGAATTAAATGCCCATTTCCTTAAATGCTGACCTTTGCATGTCTCTGCTGTCCCCAGCCTCCCACTCAACATTTAGAAGCAATGAAGCAAATGAACAATCCTGATGTATTGCAACTCCAGAATACACAATACATGGCAACACCTAGCTACTCTGGTATCTGTGCCTTTTAAAATGATAAACCACTAACTATGGTTTCAAGACTGATGAGAATTTATTACTCCCCAAATTGGGGAAAAATTGGTCTGATTTTACAAAGGACTAAGAGATCTCAAGGCTGAGTTTCTTTTTGTTGCACAGGGGCCCAAAGGAAGAAAGGACTTGCTGGGTAAGTATAGGATAGAAAAGCTCCACAACTGCACCATGCCGTCTCCTTGGGAATGTAAAATATGGAACATAACATAGCTCAGCATATTTGACCTAAAATGATTTCTCAAGTTTGCAAGGAGCCAAGTTCTAAGAAACCTGGCTAGACCTCATTATCTTACATAAATGCAACCTGGGGTGTGGAAGGAAAGATGACAGAAAACCAGACTGGTCATCTGTAAAAACAAATCACTGCAGGACTAGATGCAGAAGGCTTATGTTTGCAGGCAGCCAATTAACACTAGACTTTTAAAATAGCCAGAACTTTTCAAAATATCCTGCCAGCGTAACCCTTGCCTCACTCATTGTTTCAAGTGCATAATTGATTCCAGTCATTTATCCACGCAAAGACCAGTTAACTACAGCTATGCTTACCCTCCTCCCCCAAACCTAACTGGGGTGAAACAATTCTAAGCCTGAAGTACAATTTCACAATAGCAAAAGGAGTATATCAAAGCAATTAAACACTTTTCAGCATACTCCAGGTCTCAGCCTTCCCTGAAAGCTATTTGAACTCAGTATTTAAGCTAGGCGTACACTAAAGAAATTTCCACCTAATCCTTAGGCAAGAGTTCATTATTCTAATCCTCCAAAATCTCTGAATTACTTTTTGGGCTGCACCATATGTGTGGGTGTTCACAGAGGCTGGACAGCCGCGGAAGGACAGTTGCACAGCTGCCCCCCCTAACACAGCAAAGAAATTTAAACAAGAATTTAATGCAGCCACTCAATCATCCTCAGGGAGCTTCTCCCCACCAACTAAGGAAAAGGAGCCCTGGGAACCCATCTTCTTGGGGTGAAACCAGCCTTTTTAAGTCTTCTCATGGTGCTCAGCAATACTATAATTTCTTCAACAGGATCAAAGACACCAACCTGTATTAAATCAAACATATAGCTTCATACTACTCTAGGATTTAAAAATTAAGAAGCATTTTTTCTGAGGAAAAGCAGTGTGTTTTCTGAGGAAGCAGAAGTTTTATCTAAGCAGCAACACATTTACAAACTGTCGGACTATAGTGACCATGAAGCCAAGAAATATTATTCTGCTGGTTTATTACTTCAGCTGTAAGAAGGGCCTCATCAGTAAGCCCAGTGACCAGCAAATAAATAAGGACACTGATGACTAGCACTTAAATAAAAAGTTAGCCTAAATTTCTGCTCACTAGAAGCAGTACTTCACTACCTAAAGCCTTCCTTCAGCTTGGTATTGTTTTATTAATAGCTGCCACCCACCTCAGCTTTACAACAAAGAATAGTATTTTAGGTTTCCATCCTCGTTTCTAACAAAATTACTAAGAAGTCTAAATTTCAATGGAAGCACAAATAGAGCTCTTAAAGAACAGGTTTTCTATAAAATCTGCAGCTGCCTCAGTACTCCAACACAAAGAGGCTACAGTAATGGATTATCTCCTGATCACTTCATAGCTCAGGAGGGGCCAAATTGGCATACAATGTCATTACCTTCCAATTCTCTTCAAATCAGCTTAAATAAGCTGCACTCCAGCATCATTTAAAAGCTCTAGAGATAGCCCATCACAGACACATGACAGTGGTTAAATAAAAGGAAGGCAATCAGGATTCAGAAACTCGTAACAGGAAAAAACTCGGCACATGCTGTGGCAATTGTACGTGAGACTTTGCTGGTGAGATGGTATCGAGGTAAGACCTCTGCAGTACTGAACTGGAGTGCATTGCTTTTCAGGTTCAGGACCAGCAGTAAATGGATTTTCTCGGTTTAAACTGAAAAAGCCCTGCAATTTTGCTGAACTGAGGCCCATTTGAGAGTCATTCTTTGCCTAAAATTGCAGAGCAGAAAGATTATCTTATTCTCAAAATAAAAACAGCATTTCACTGCTTCACTAGACCTGAAGATCTGAGACCTTTATGACGAACCTTATATTCAGGAGAAAGGGGCAGACTGGATCCATGCACAGTGAGATTTCTGCATTGGCTTGAGACAGAGGCAGCTCATGTGACAGCACAATGGTATTAGAGCCTACTCCTCCCCTGTCATTGTTCTCAAGTCTCTCTGCCAATCCCTATTAAATAAAATAATAATGTACTTTTCATTACATGCCAGCAGATTTCTGGCTTTCTGAACTTTTGACGTACACTCGATTCTTTGCCACAAAAGCTTCTGAGAGTGAACTACACCATTAGCTAAATATGAGCTCAAGGGATGGCAGCCTTTATAATTTTATATAAGTGAGAACACAAGCCCTGCTTATTTTTGGTAATCAGCATTCTTTGCATGCTCATAAATGAAGTGAAAAGAGCAGAGGGGAAATGGCACACAACTGCAGTTTTATTTCATCTTAATTTCTACCCTGACATCTCATTTTCAACTTAGGAAAAGGTAGGACGTGCTAATGCAACACAGATAACCCAACGACACGAGTCTGGCCTGCCCTTCAGGAGGCACCACTCATAATCACAACGTCCAAGCCCTGTACACTGAAGACTTATACACGGAGAGTGTTCAATAAAATAAGTGCTCCTCTCCAAATGTATTTGCCATCAGCAAACAAGCAGCTGAACAGCTACAAGTGGGTTAAGAAAAATACCGTGGGCTTTTTGAGCATAAAGCATTTCTAGAGTAGAAAAGCTTCTCATGTAGCACCAACTATCTTGGGATATTCTCTCTTCAGCCTTCTACATTCAAGCTGTGCTTGACAATACAAGTTTTTGGAAAGCACAAGTCCGATTTTCCCCAAAACAGAAAGTTTAGCATTTAGATTTAAAGTACTCATCAACCACAGCAATGACTGTGTTGGTAATTTTATTGTGCTTCAACAGATCCCTCCCCCTCAGCATTAGAAGCAAAGATCCAGATAATTAGGGCATGAAGATAACTGCAGATCTATAGTTTCAGTTCTTAGTTCCACCCTTTTTCCCAAGAAACTTCTTTATGGAAATACATTCCCTTTGGCCTTTTATAAAGAGAATCTACGCAGAATTAATCATCTACACTTCCAAAACACCACACATTTAGAAATAAATAAATTGGAAGCTACATAAGACTGAATTTTAATACTAGTTAGCGTTCTCACAGTTAACCTGGCAAAAGTTCACACAGGAAACATGTTTGATTTTCACACTGAATTCGGAAGGTAAATGTTTTTAGTCTGTTGGGTCAGTGACTCAGTAAACAGCTCAACCCTTCATCAGACATCCTAGCAGGAAAGAGGTGACCATACAATAAATTCTGCAAGTTCTTAGATGAGGTAAAAAAAATAAAACAAAAACCAAACAGTAAAAGCTGATTGTAAACCCTACATTATTTACACATAAGATAATTCCAATCGTAAAAGTTTTTGCAAGCTAAGTGATGGGTATACCAACTAGGTTTATTTGATATGAATACACAAACTGGGTTCAACCCCAGATACGATGACCCACATTCATCTTCATGCAAATCTAACATGAAGTATTCTACCTTGATGTCAAAACCCAGAACCAAATTAAGGGCCCGCTCGGATGTAACGCACTAAGGACACATTCCCAACAAGTCCAGAGTATTCAAGGACTGTGGGAACTCTCAAGCATCTGGACATCACATATCTACAGGAAAGCAGCACAAAAATACACTGTGTCCAACTTCACTACCCAAGTTCCCCACCAGCTGTAAGAGAAGTTTTCTTTCTACATTTGCCTTCTTTTGCATTTGTCTTTTTATTACTCTGCTGACAGTCAGGACTGTGCAACCTCAGAGGTAGGGGTCCTTCATAAGCTCCCAGTCTTTCTAGTTGCCAGGCTCGAGATTTTAGAGCTAAAAAACCCCCATTAAAGGTATCAGTAGCTTTCCAGGACACAAAAAGTTACATCTATGGTTACACCCTTTTTCAGTTGCTCACTGAAGGATCTTCAAGGGAACAGAGTTTATTTTTCCTCTTTCAATGCCATCTGTATGAACTGTTGTATGGCTTCCCCTGAGAGGGACTGACCATTTGGTGAACAGATAGGGTTACTGTTCTTTAAAACACCTGTACTTCTCATTTCAAGTGTTAACCTAATTAAAAAAAAAAAATCTAGAGAACAACATTGCACACCTCCAATAAGACGTTTAAAATACAGTGACTTAAACAAGCCAATGGTTTGTGATAATAAATTGAAGATTACTTTCCCAGTTAAGGTAATCTAGAAATACTGCCTTTTGGATAGAAACTTGGTGTTGAGGTCAATTCAGACATATCCAAACGCTTTATGAAAACAGAGTAGTAAGGAAATAATAAAACCTCCCTTTAATCGTTTGGTGTTGACAAGTTGGTAGGTCCCAAATTTATCCGGTAGGGATCAATACACTTACCTATCGTCCCTGTTTCGCAATAATCCTGAGTTGCTTCCTGGAATACAAGACAGTGTCTTTGTAACTCGGGAGCAGAAAGAGATCTGAGGATGGAACATCTATTTACAGGGACAGCCTAATGCTCACTGCACCACAGAAGGAATAAGCAAACACTTCAATGTCGTGGGTATGTGTAACTAAAAATACTTAAAATGATCCTGTGGAAATCTGTTCAACAAGCTAAGAAAAAGGCAAATCCAAAGCACTGTTGCTTCAAGAATTACTGCTAGGAAGATAAAACATTGCAGAAAATATATACCAAGCCAGTTTGCTGTAATTATCTGGGATACCATGATGTCTCATCTTTCCAAGAAGGCCTACTGATTAGCCTACATTTAAGAAAACGTGATGGTTTTCCTCAAAAAAATATTAGCCTTCATGTAACCTTGCTTTCTTGTTCAAAGAGGCAAAATATGAAATATCAATGTGCAACATATTATGAAAAGCACAGGGTATTGTTTTGGTGGTGTTTTTGTTTTTTGGGGTTTTGTCTGTTTGTTTTTCCAAACTACCTAAAAATTTAGAATAGACTGAGAGAAACGAACCCGTCTTGAGTGGTAATGAACAACAGAAGCGAGATAATGTTACTCATGCAAATTTACCTTCTTTATTTCTAGGTAGTTTCAAGTTCACTTACTGAACACTGACCCAACAGGGTGACACACATTTCAGCACAACAAAGCTGTACAAACAATTTCTACCCTAAGCAAAGCATGATTGATTCTTTGTTTAAATTCCTATGTAACTAGAAATGAATGCTGGGTGACCTAGCGAGAGTTTGAAGGCTCATTTTGTCCAAAGCCTGCCTTTGCAAGTTATCCTGGACCATTAATTCCTTTAAAAATAATCAGCAGTACCAAGCAACCCCCAATTCCTTTCTACTGATGAAAAGATTATACCATAACTCTGTGTTCCAAAGACATTTTTCTTGCTGGTCACTCTTCTCGCACCCCTACTGCTGAGTCTTTTGATACCAATGAGTGGTTGTTTTCCACAGGTTTGTTTCTCCTTCCACAGCATCTCTAGATGCTGGAAAAACTCCGAGGCTTGCCAACCTCATATCAGGCCCCCTATTAATCACCCAAGGGTTTTAAACAGGAGTTGACATAATCATCCTGCATCACCACGCGGTAAGAATGTGACACAAACAGGTCCTTCCACCTCCTAAATACATGCACATAAATGCACTCAAGTTTCAACCAAGTTGATGGAAAACTTTAGATGAAGTACACTGCTATCAGGTATCACACTCTGCCACCAGCTCGGTCAAAGCAGCCCGTCTTCTCAATACGAAGTAAACAAATGAATTTCTGCTCTTAATTCTATTAAACCACAACTCATGACAGTACTCAAACAGAAATTTCCCTGCTGAGAATTCCTGATAAGATTCCCTTTGTGAATTTACTTTGAACTATCATATCCCATACTTAATACACATACACAAACAATTCATACTCTGTAATTCCATATTCTTGTTTTTAAGCTCTTGCTTCACTGCTATTTTGCAAGATCTAGTACACTACAGCACATCCTCCAGAAGTTATCAGCATTTTAATGATTGTATTCTTAGAATTTGTGACTAGAACTGTCAAAAAACCTCCCGTGAGAAATTTCATCTCTAGATGAGCACAACACTGCCTGCTGTACGTTTACATCTGATTTAGCAGCTTCAAATGGTCAAACAGATAAGGCTAACACATGAACTTTTATTATTTACTGTGCATTATGAAGTACCATGTAGATACTACAGTACATCTCTACCTTGGGACCAAAGCCAGTTCCACACAGACTCTGAACGCACCTTCTCCTGAGGTTTACAGAATTTGGAAAGTGCTCTTCTTTGATGATTCCTTTGACACAGACCGTTACTTCCTAGTCTGTTTTCAGTAACGTGACAGAACACAGACTGAAGTATTAAAATGTGCACACGTGGCATATCATCAGTCTCCAAAGTTGTACTATGTTAAAAGCTGATGCAAACCGGGAGCCGTCCATATCCACATGTAGTCTTCCCAGTCTAACAGCAGCCCATTCCTGATCATGGGTCATTCAAAACTGGGATCCTTGATGCCAACTGCGGGTTGGGTTTTGTTTTTTTTTTTTTTTAAAATGTATGTTGGGCATAAGGATCTCAACCAGTGACATAACACACCTATTCCTGGGGCTATAAGGAAAACAGATACACTGGGGAAATTCAAAGTATTAACCACAAACAAGACCGCTGCAATGAATATAAAATTGATGGACTGTGCTAGCAACACTTGTTTACCTGCTTGTGAGCATGATCGTAAGAGTTTATGTGGTTGTCAAACTCTTGATGCTTTTGATACTGCTTGTCACAGAGTTCACAGTAGAAATTTGCTCTGAGGTCTTCCAAAGCCTTGGCAATTGCCTTTTCTTTATCAACATAATCCTGCAAAATTAACAAAAAAAAGCTTCTGTTAAACTTCCTGTAAAACCAGTAAAACTGGAAGATGATGAACTAACTAGTCCTTTAAGGAAAAACAGTCCTTAAGAAAACCTTAGCATATGCCAATGCTTTTATTTATTAAGCTGATCGGTCTTTGCAAATTCAAAGGTATGAAGGGTAACTTTGCAATACCAACCTAGCCTTGACTCAATTTACTAACATAGAACATAATCTTGTCATTAGCACAGGTATTGGTAAAAGGAGACTGCTTAAAAAAAAAAAAAAGTCTAGTGCCGATGGCAGGAAGGCAGTCTTGCATCTGCAAGGAGAGCCTGCTGGATTGTCTGAGATAAAAAGAGAGGTTCAAAGCCTCAAGCTAACACATAAGCAAACTGGCAGCTGCTTGCTCGCGTAAGATGCACAAAATACGCAGCAAACCAAAATCACTGCTTTTGGAACAGAATCTTAGAACTTTAAATGCTGATACTTCCTCCATTTTGAGTGCTAACAGATGTCTGCTTGATCTCAGTTCGTCTGCAATTCAATAGGGAAGAACACAGACCCGTGGCTGGGAAAGCACAGCTCAGAAATCGTTGAGCCTAATTCACTTCAGTGTAATTTCACAGCCAGTGAAATTTTCCCAGGAGCAATGCTGTCCATTAAGCTGAGCTCAAATACACTGATCAAATACAGTGATCGCACTGGGAGTGGGTACAGGTAGTTACTTGCCAAGTTAATAAAAGAGGGGGAGGGAGACTGCCTCAGAGGTTGCAGAATAATTTTTTTTCTTTATATAATTTAACATTTGTATAGGTACAGAACCAAACCTCCAAGCCAAAGTGAGGTATCTGAATTGGCAACAGTCACATCCTCCTCTTTTGCTATGAAGAAAAGTAGCAACTTTTGGATTGGCAGTGGCAAAAAGCTTTGGGACTGTGGAAATCCCAAGCCCTCAAGTGGCTGTAATGGTTTGAAGTCCAAGTGCCTGGAAGCCAGCCTGTGTGTCTCGGCCAGCCCTGTCCCCAGGGCACAGCCACAGCCCAGGCAGAGCTGGGAGGGCTCTGAAGCACACCTGATGCTGAGACACACAATAATCTCAGGTCTAAGCAGCTTCTAGCCCTAGTCAGGTCATTACAATTACAATCCCACCAGCAAAATTAATAGAACACCACCACTCTTTACAAGAAGGCTGGGGAAGGTTTACTGGGGAAGGTTTACCTTAACAAGATAGAAGCACTTACGGTGATGCATACAAAAAAAAAAAGCCACAAATGCTGCATTACCTAGTACACTGTGCTAACATCAGCATACCCCACATAACTATTTACCATATGCATTTCAACTGGAATAAAGAGAAATTATATAAGGAAATTAGCCTAACATTTAAGAAAAAAGCACCTAAGAGTTTGTCTTCAATACAAACTTCTTACAAGAAATTTCCTTGCATTAGCAAGAGGAGCTAGCAAACATTTTAAAAAGATCTGCTATGAAAGCTTTTTTTTCTTTTTAAGATCTTGTTCAAGACAATATGGTTTATCTCCCAGTTACCACATCAAAATTGCATTAAAATAATATCGTTGTGCATTCTATAAAGCAAAATTAATATTAAAAAATTTCAACACCTGAGGGGGGGAAATCTGAAAAAATTCTACTGCTAAAATGCTTGGGGTTTTTTCAACTTAAAAGCACTGTTCACTTTCTAAACAAAAAAAAAATTTAAAAAATCCAATCTATTTAAAAAAAATAAAAAGAATAAAAAAAATCAAAACTATTTCAAGATCCTGCTTCCATCTATTACCAGAGGCCTTTGTTAAGGAGGAGGGAAAAAAAAAAAAAAAAAAAGAAAAGAAAAAAATCAACAAAACTGTGTAGAGGTTTGAGCTTGAAACAGGTCCCCAGGAAGACAAGAAAGGAAAACAGAGCAGCATGAGATCCACAGAACAATGACATTTAAAGTTCCTCTGAAACCCTGAACAAGCTTCCTGCACCATGTGTAGTTTTTTTTTCAGAAAGCATCCCATGGCTAAACAATGAAAACATCGCCATTTGAGTGATCAGAATCTATCCAAAAGAAAGGAATTAAAGAACATTTCTTGCTTGCTTCTCGGTTGCAGCGTTATCTGAAATTCCTTTGAGACTCACTGAATGGCTAATCAGGATGCGGCCACAGTTGGCAATTACATAATGGACTCCTGCGGAGCAACGAAAAAAATTATGCTTGCAGAGATTTTTCACAGATTAATACAGAAATGCAAGAACCTAGCGATAGAGTATGCTAATAAAAACACACCCGAGCTGGGAGAGACTGCTGCTGCTCCACAGAGTTCCTGAAAATAAAGCCTGTGCTGAATAATGGCAGGAAGACAAAACAGTCTCACAGAGGAATCCACGTACAACTGCATTTGAAAAGACAATTGCAATACCCGAGAACTTGACCATAAATCACATTGCAGACCTGAGATAAAGCATCATTACGTGCAGTTCACACAAGAGCTCCTACCAGCCACTCTGAAACGAAGAAATACTTTGTACTCAGCAGCTGCTGCTGGCTGAAGATGCCCAGCGTGGCAGCTGGGGGATTGCTGCAGGAAGGGGCACAGGCTTTCGGCCACACCTGCCCGTGTCACAGCCAAACCTTCCCTTTGTAGGGTGTGAGCCACATGCCACCCAGCAGGAGATTAAAAACAACAAAAAGGAGAAACTCCTTCAAGGAGAACTCGCACCTGGACCTAGAGGAACTGTTCAGCACCGGCTGCATAAGCCCATTTAAATGCACACTTGCATTTTACAGTGTGCCAGAAGAGATCGTTAGCTGCCTTCAGCTCCAAACTAATAATTAGCTTTAAAAGTAATCACAATGGCTTTTATTTTTAAATGAACAAATATACCAGCAATTCACTAACTAAGCAAGTCATGGTCTCAAGGTGGGGGGGGAGGGGGGGGGGAAATTCAGGAAAGGAAGCTATGAATTTTTGTAGCTGAATAAATTACCTGAAGTATTAACTGTTGAACTGGTGAAATGGAATTTTAGATTTGCCATGGTTATGTTTAATTTTAATGGAATTTAAACTACTTTTTAATTATTTGAGGAATAATGGAAATTTAGGCAAAAGTGGCACTTTAATGTCTAGGGCTCTTTTTCAACCCCAGTACTTGTCAAGTCTCAGGACAATTAAACAAGCGGGCTTTCCTAAGCCTTGATGTACTCTACAGGCTGAAAGAGTGGATTAAAGGACTAGCAAAGACCATGTCTCCACAGAGAATTCAGTTACTGCTAATCCAAGCATGTTCCAATATGTCATGTTCAACGCCAACACGATGGCCCATTTTTATCATTAAAAACGTAACAGTCTTTGGCTTACAAAAAAATCCACAGGTTTTGTAAGCCCTACAGAAATACAGAATTTTTTTTTTTTTTTTTTAATGCTGCTGCCTAGGAAATTCTTCCAGGGATACAGCCCATCAGTTTCTCAAAACTGGAGCCATGTCCTACCTTTTCAAAGAAAGCAGGATTTATGCAAAAATATCATGATGCACTACTTACTATTTGCTCAGTAACAACAGAAGATCTACTCTACTTCCAGCTAATAACTGCCCATCTAAAATTTGCATCTGCAGATTTTGCACTGACAACATGGCAGGTTCACTAAAAAAATTTGGCAGCCCTGGGTGTAGGGAAGGAAATGTTCTGCTCACCCTAGGACTGTTCTTTCCAGACCGGGAACAGAGCACACAGAGAAAGCCCTGATGCTATCCTGTAGCTCCTAAGCGGCTAAACAAACATCAAGATTAATTCCAGGAAGTGAATAACCAGTTCATTAAAATATAAATAATCTCAACAATGACAAAAACTCCAGACTACTTAATTCCTACTACCATTACCGCAGCCTAACGAAATGCTCTTGTCCTATCAGAACAAATGCTCTCCCACTCAGCCCAGAGGAACTTTGATGTTAAGGGCCCCTGTTTCAGTACCTTGTATTTCTGTCTCAGCTCCTCAGTGTCTTCTTTCTCCACCTCCAGTACACGCCTCCGCTCAGTGGCATCTTCGGCGTAATCAAGCTTTTTTTTAAAAAAAAAAAAAAAAAAAAAGAAAAAAGACGACATGCAATTTGTCCCATAAATACTTTGCACTACTGAGACTGCCAGAATGTGCAGTTTAAAAAAGATGAGGTTTGAAACCAAATCTTTGTATATTGTACTTCACTTTCCATGTTTTGTCATCCCACAGTGTAACCCACGTGCAAAACAGTTAATTAATCCTTCTGAGGTGGAGGCTCCCAGCAGGACCGTCCACTGCCAACGGCAGCCTCAGCTTTGCAGAAGTGAAATCGCAAAGCCCAGGAATTTCCGATAGCATCCAGACCTCAGAAGCCAGGCACCCATGGGTAAAGACAGTATGCATTTTGAGAAGTGTTTTCTTATTGTGCAGATTTAACAGCAAGTTTTTCTTTACCTTTGATGCACACATTCTCACTTTTAAATTTCTTCCCTATCAACTCCCCAAGAGCCATGCAAGGAGTGATTGGGTGTGGGGCAGGAGCCAGGCAAGCTTACCTCCATTTCCATCCGCCCCATGCCCATGACATCATACTTGACGACAATAGGGATGGGATCTGTCCTCCCTGCAAGAGGAACACACACAGGGGTGGTCAGCAGCCAGTTCGTCACCACAGCTCGCTTTACACATTGGGTTTGGGTGGTTAGAGATCTTGCCTTGGAGTGCAGAGACCAGAAAGCTACAGTGAACCAAACACAAGCCATTCTCACAGCTTACAGCCAAACCTGCTTCTCAGCTCCAAACTAGTTACAGTTAAATGCATCCTGAGTACTGATAAATGGTGTTTTCTGAACATTAACTGGTCACGTAAGATATTCTGGTGGTTAATGTTCAACCATGACAAGTCCTAGGGCTGGGCTGTTAACAGGACTTGAGCAATAAACCTTCTCCTCAGTGCTTCCACATCAGGCAATACATACTCCTCATCTTCTGATGCAAGTGAAACAGCTATTAAATACGTTTTACTGCTCTACCACATTAATAATTGATTAGGACTTTCCCGTAAAAGATGTGGAAGCCTCCCTCCTGCCAAGTTTTGTCCCTTCCCAAGAGTAAGTAAAGCTGACTGAGAAGCGTGGCACAGAAGCCAAACTTCTTCCACCCAAAAGGACCACCCGGCCCAGGCCAGGCTGTCAAGCACCTGCTTCCCCAGCTCCTGCAGAGATGCTCGAGCTCGCGCTGTGTCACCTGTAAGCTGTGAAAAGGACTAGTTGCGAAGAAAATTGACTTTGAACTAATCAAACTATGCTGGAGATTTTTTTTTTTTTTAAACATATCTTTAATCCACTCATAACCAGCCAAACAAAGCAAAATGGGGCAGACAAGCACTTTACTACCACAGCTTTTTTAAAAATTATTATTATTTTTATTTTTACATCACAACTGGCGCTGTTTGTTGTGATGTAAGCCCACTGAAAAAGTACTTACCTTATCCGGTGCATACCTTGAGTAAAAAAACAGAATGTTTACTTCCCTTATTATTGCTCTTGTTTTGGTGTAAACAACTGTTTTGTTATACACACATACACATATATTATACCTTTGGGCTAAAAGATCTACAGGTTTCAATCATGCCAAAAATATTCCATTGCCATTCACATGCACAAAAGGTTAAAGTCTTTAAAACTGCCTCAGAAAACCTGTATAGGCATTAACTTCTCTCTTCTCCAATATCAGCTTTCTCTAACTCCTGCAAAAGTGACAGCCCACAGATCTTGGACTCCAGAGTCCTCAAAGGGAACCTACTCTGGTCAGACTTGAGTCTTTTTAACTCTTAAAGTACAGAGGCATGTGTTTTTCTTTCAGAAACAAATCCACTTGATTAATCACTTTATGTTTTTGTTTATACGCCCATAAATTTGACAGGCATATATCCACCAAGTCCAGAAATAGTTATCATGCTGATCCAAAATAATACTTTGAATTATTTCGTTTGGGTATCGTAAGTGTTCTCCATTTGAAAATGTTTCTCTTATGCCCAATGGTATAATAAAGTAAGCAGTGACTGCAATTTTTAGCAAAAGGACCAAATTAAAGACAGGTTATAAAAATGACTTCCTAAGTGCAATATCACTTTCATAACGTCTCAGCCAGGGATTTACTGGTAAGTGGTGAACCCAAATGGAATGGCTGGCAGCAAGTGCCAACAATTTTTTTTTTCCCAAGCTTTTTAATTTTTTTCTTTTTTTTTTTTTTCTTTTTTTTCTTTTTTTTTTTTTTAATTTTTTATTTGTTTGCTTCTCCAGCAATTGAGATCTTTGGATGCAGCCTCATTGCCCTGGTAAACCCCTGTGTACAAACAATACATCAGTACTTTTGCCTTCTAAGGCAGTCAAAGTTTTTTGTTTTTTTGGGTTTTGTTTTTTTTTTCAAAATCTATTTGGAAATTGCAGTAGCAAGTGCTAGTGCCCATCGTGTTGGGGAAAAATCAAGTTTGGACAGTATTAGAAATTTATGTTTAAACTGATTTTGGCAGTTCTAACACAAACAGAAACATCCCTTCTTAGCAATACCCTTTAATGAACAAGGATCAGACAAGTGTGCATAAAGAAAGGAAAGGAAAGGAAAATGAAAGACCAAGCAGAAGGATGATGGCTACAACAGAGAAAGTAAGCCTAACATATTGGTGCACTGATGACAAAAGGAGTAATTCAGTCTGAAAATAAAAAATTACCACTGCTAAGTTTACCATCACCACAACAAGTCCAGGATCATAACGCTGTAAAAAAGAAACACCATTTGTTAGGCAGAAACCATTAGGGGCAGAAAATAGGCCGTTTGTAGTAGGCAGGTAGGATGGGTTAAAAAAAATAAAAATAAAAAATAATACGAGGCTTCTTCCTCAACCCTCCACCCCATCACCATGCTTTGCCCTGTGGAATCAGGGAGCGGGTAGGTTTTGACCAGTTATTTGGTTTTAGAGCTATGCTCGCAACCTGAAAGTTTTGGGTGTCAGAAGAGATTGAGCTCCTGGTGACGGCCCAATTTAAACCAGGCACTGAGGCACATTCAAGCAGGCAGTTTAAAAAAGGAAACAAAGCGGGATCTTTTTTACAAATATTTCGGGTTAAAAGGAGCTCTGTTTTCAGGTAAGAGGAGAATATTCAATGCAGAAAGCAATGCCTTTGTTTTAAACTTAACCATCATTTCATCACGACTGAAATGCCACGGCAGCCAGCCAGTGCAGCCGGCCAGCATGACGTCCAGCCGACAAAGTGCCAAGTCTGAGCCCTGCGAGCACGTATCGCGGCCACGGGCAGCAGCGCCCGTCCTCACCCCCGAAACCGCGGCTCTGTTCGGGGCAGGGGCACACGCCGGCGGGCACAGCCCTGGGCGGTGGGTCACCGGGGCCGGGGCAGCCTCGCTCCGTGGCCTAGGCAAGTCCCCACGGCTGAGGGGAGGGAACGGGCTCTGTGCTGCCGAAGGGCCACCGCTCACCCCACTGACTGCCAAGCGGGCTGGGCGGAAGATGGAGAACAGCCAAATGGAAAAATGGGACTTTTTAAAGTATAAGCTCTTGAAGTTCTCCTTTTGAAGAACTTCCTCAGGAAAGTTTATTCCAGAGCTATTGTGCGTGACAACAGGATCTTTATCAGCATGTAAACGTGGTTCTCAGACATTGTGGGACTCCCAAGTTCAGGGTTCCTGCTGACCCTTTTTGGGTACACCAGCATACTTTGAAAGAAGAAACTGAGCTTTCAAGAAACGGCAAGAATTCCCACACTTCATGCCACTATGCAGGGTTGCAAGCACTGCCACATTGACAACTAACCCCCCATACGATAAACCATGCAGCTCACACAAAGCTGGGTCTGTGCACCATCCCCCCCTACACCCCAGAAATTTTTTCTTTCTGAACCAGGTCACAAACTCTCTCCTTTACAGACTGGTCACATTACACAGGCTACAAAACCCCAAACCAGAGATGGTTGTTGTATAAGACACTTCCACGCAAGGGGAAAACCTCTGTGGAGAGGACAAAGCATAAACCTCCAGTGGGATGGGAAAAACAAAGAGCTTACACAGGAGTGTCACCTTAGAAAATCCAACCTCTTAAAGTAAATTTTGTAATTATTTCCTTAATTCAGAAACAAACTGAGATTTCAGAACTGACCAGATATATTTGCTTTGCTTTCCTCTTCTCAAAGAAATGAGGAAACCTTTCTCCCAGCTTGTGAAAAATTGTTCACCCCCAAATATACCCTGACAGCCACCCCACTTCCCAGAGCCCTGTGCCTGCCCAGAGATCTGCCGGCAGCAGAGAGGAGGCAGACTGCAGGCAGCACCTTGCCAGGCAGGCTTCTCCAAATTCATTCTTTTTTAATTGCATAAAGTTATTGGCTATAAACAAATGCTTTGCCAGCAGCGCTATAAATTAACAAATCTTGGGAAAAGAGATAATCCTACACTTCAGGGCTTCAGCATCAGACACCAGGTCGTGCCGTACGCAGAGGATTATCGCTTCACTGTTGCCAGCTGCAGGGTGCGTGCTCCATCTCTGGACACAGCGGGTAGATGCTGCTCTGCTCTTCGAACAGGACGCTGCACCAGATGGACCTGCCATCTGAGCCTGTCTAGAATCGCTGGCATTGTCAACACTAGTGCACTTTTTTTTTTTTTTTTTAAAAACAGTCAAAACAGAGAACAGTTATCATCGACAATTTGCAGATTCAGAACTCCTCCCTCCAGCAATATCATGCACTGCAATAGATACAAGACGTTTCTGAAAGTCTGTTTAACAACAGAGAAAGAATGGGATGCTCCCATTGAAAAAAAGATGTACCCCCAAAATTATGCATTAATGTAATTCAGTCAAATATATTTCAGTGTATCACTTCTGCATAGCATGTAAACACCAGAGAGGTAACAGAACAGCCTTAATCCTGCTCACTGTGTTGACATCTTAATAGAAATTCCTCCCAGGTACAAGCTTTGTGGGATATAATCGTAGACGACTGATCGATATCACACTCTTCATCAGACAATTTCATGAACTAAGCATCTCAGGAGGATGCAAACATCAGGACATGATCTTGTTGAGCACAGATGATTTTTACTCACTCGCTATCTTTATGCTACAACTGAAAACAAAACCGTGGTAAGGGACAACCTTCTAGGCTTTTAATTGCTCTTGGAAAGGGACTATTGCAGAGATTAGAAACACAGCTGTGTGATGGCAGCACTGGGGCATTTCATAGTCCCATCACTGGATTTGCTCTGGTGGATAAGGGTCAGTTTGTTGAGTCACCTGCAGTACAAACCCCAGTGCAGGCTATAAAATATCAATAGGTGCCTGGAGTCAGCTATCAACACCCCCAGCAATGTATCACCCACCGACACACCACACAATCACCACTCAACTACAGTGTGTCTGTAACGATGCAAAATAAGGAGGAGTCACTGTGGCCATGGATGAGCTCCATTTTCAAAGATTAGGAATTTTGCAAGCTCTTAAAACTTTCCTGGACCTACTGCACATTTCGATAGCCCAACAGCTGTCATGTTGGAAATTCAGACGCCTTATTCAGTACGCCAAAAGGGGAGAGATGAGGAAATCCACTAATTTTTACTGGTGAGCAAGTCCTGGCATGCTCTGCGGTGCTCCTTGCTGCCTAAAAATGATGCTACGTTATCAAGCTCAGTCTGATTGCTGCAAGAAACGAACAAACAAGGCAACCTTTTATCCTGGTCTTCTTTGGGAATTAGATTTGTGAGATCATCCTGTTTATGTTGGATTTCTGGAAGCGGTCACAAACAATCAAGAGATTCAAATGAAGTCTGAAATGTCTACTAGCTTCAGCGACAAGCATCAGGTCCCATTGAGGAGAAACTGTTTTCTGAGTACACAAAAATTGCACTGTACTTAATCCTTATTAAGCAGGAGAGAAATGACAGGCGAAAGAAAGTTGCAAATACCCCAATCACATGGAAAACTTCAAACAGGAGCTCAAAACTTCTTAGACACACAAGCCAAGGGCAACACTTGCAGAAAACCAAGTAGAGCTCCCCGAACTTCTGCAAGGGAAGGCACATAGCGTCTGGGCCAAAAACTATCCCCAATGGTATTACAGAATGACATGGAAGATGTTAGAGCCAGAACATAAATCTTGGTTGATCTCAAATAGAAATCAGAGATAAGAGTCACTGTCCTGATCTCAGTAAGTGGAGCGGGCTGAGAGTCCTGTCTCATTTAAGGTTACAGTGCAAGAGTGGGGGCAGGTTGTGCATGGCCATGACTACTCACTCACCACGCACTCATCTTTCACCATTTAATAAAACTGCTTTAACTTTATATGAACACAAAGGGCAATAAAGCCTGATTCTAATCCAAGAGAATGTCATCTCTGTCATAATAAGCATGTGTCACTGAAAGAATAATGATTTCATTGACTACACACACTCAAGTAACCCGTAAACTTCCCACCCGTAATCAAAGGAAGGATCTTGCACATTCAAAAGCAAACAAGAGGGCAACTGCTTCCCCCAAAGGAGACTGAGACATTAAGTAAATCTTCCTTTAGGTCTGTGGTCTTGTGGTTTTCAACATGGTAATGAGGATTGGTGTGATGATAGCAGGTTTTCAAAGCCGCATTACCCAGGTTTTTCAAAGCTAACTTCACATGAAAATATTATTCTTAAAACTACTGCAATGATTTATGTTACAAACATAAGCATGGAAATGTTAGTTTACGCCAGAATTCAGGTTCCCATGAGGAGATGTTAAGATACAAGAAGATAAGATTGTGTTCACGTCTATTTCTTGGGTAAGACTGCCAGATCATTCCATACATAATTAATAAAGGCACTGTTACATTTTTATCTTTCTCTTACATACTTTCTTGTATTTATTACAAAGCAGAGAGAAATACAACATTCCTCATTTCCTCATGGTGTTTTTCTCGAATGCTCATTGTTCCATGTTCTTAAGGCCTGACAAACATCTACTCTGTCTGCTTTCATGAGATCAGAGGGTTCAACAAATGGAAAAATATATTAACATATTAGCTGTAAGCCATTTGGTGAACTGGTGACAGAGCCAGGATTCAAGACCTCTGGAATTCAAACCCTGAGCTTATTTCTTCAAGCTGCAGCTGCCAAGTGATCGCATTTGTGACTCATCTCAGTTGCTCGAGTGGTCAAAGCTCCACTTCTTACTCCCCACACGTCTAACGAAACCAGCATCCAGGAAGCATAGTGTGCATCACCTGCAGCCACCTGACACCATTTCAGAAGAGGGACTATAACTGAGCTTGAGCTCACAAATGAGAATTATCACAGAGGCTGCCAGTGAACAGCTATTTCCTGCCTTAGCCACAGGACCACTTCTTCACCTGCAGGCTCTCCTCTCTGCACATCTTTTGGTATTTCTTTCAGACAGTTCTGTTCTTTCACTCTGCTCATCCTTTATACCAAGAGGGAAAACAAGAGCTTGTCTGAACAGATTTCGTGAAGAACATGCCAAGTAAGAGCTACATCATAGTATAACGGAAGGAGGGGACTGATGACTATATTTATCATCACAGAATTTGCAAGTCAGAGCAGAAATCTACTTGTGCTTTTAAATTGAAAACCATGCAACAAAAATATAGTTAGATGGAAGAACTGAATTCTAGCATTTTCTAACAAATTTTATATACCTGACTTTGCTACCTTGTTAGGTAATTTATATGCTTATTAAAGGATAAAATAAAACCAAATTCTGTTACACTCACTTGTAACAGCTGCTCTCCGTGTAACCAGTACAATTTATACCTTGAGTTTGCAGCACACCTTGATCAACAGGAACTGCACTGTCCTGACAATTTAGAATGGGATTATTGTTTTTAGCTTGCGTGGAAGAGAACAAGCATGCAGGAAGGGGTTCACAGCTTTACATGGCACTGCCACGAGCTCCCATGACACTGAGCATGGCTCTGACTGCAGGCAGCCTGCATTATATTAGTATTGCTGCTCTCCAAGAAGATTCAACCAGCTTTTTGCAATAGTTATGCTGAAATGATGCCAAAACTCTGCTAAAAACAAGCAAACAAAAAGGAAGTTACTACTACATAGGAATAGGAATCAGGAGACAGAAGGCATTTCTTTTGGACAAAACACTACAGGTAAAGCTACTGCTGCTTCAGCTGCCCCAAAAGGGACCTCCATTTCTAAACACAGCCACCTGCTGCTTCTGTTTTCTGAGAAATTGAGATAACCCCAGTACTAGGTACAAAACAGCATCCCACAAAGCACTGCCATCCACCTTGAAACTTAGCTTAGTTTCACACTGAATAACATTTCCATCACTACAGTAATCAAGTGATGAAAGAGCTGCCTCAGTCCCCTTCAGACAACCGCAAACTTTATGTATAGTCTCAAGGTTCAATTCCAGTTCTACACTAAAACCCTATATTTTCTAAACTATTTGATTCAACAACATAAATACTTAAGAGCAGCTATGCCATGACAAAACCATGTTATCTGTTACCATAGCAAAATGCTAGGTTCTTATTCACCTCTCAGAGATACCACAAAAGACCAGGATAATCCTGGTCTTGGGAATACTGTGGGAACATGGATAAAATCAATGCTTTTAAACGTATCAAATTAATCATAAACTACACACAGCTCATGGTATAGGTAAACTTAATGTAACAGGTGTTGGAGCAGTTTTTAAAGTGTCACGGTTGTAGTCAAGCAAGCATATTCCCTTAAGAAAGAACTTTAAAAAGACAAATCTAGAAAAGGTTATTGAATAATTACAGTTATTAGCCAGTACCCACTCATGGAACGACTAGCTAAGTATAAGCTAGACCTGTTCACCAAAGTTGGTCAGTCCTTCCCAGGAGTCCCTTCCATATGGCCAGTAAACATCCAACAGACCTCCCTGACTGACCTGTCTGCACTCTCCAAACCGCCTCTATTTGCAGCAAACCATCCCTTGGGAGCTGCCCACCCCGCTCCCCTCCACAGCCCCTGCTATGACAGAGGAATCAGCAGGATAAGCATGAGGACAGGGGGATGGCTGTGAATTAATTCAGTAGTACCAGAGATGGGAGCATTAACAAGCATTTAAAGCCTGCCTGCTTGCTCTTAGCTATCAGGCCTATCCTGTCCTCATTTATGAGGTACTCCCCACCACACACACTCCAGGCCTGACCTCGTCCCAGAGAGCCATCTAATTCTTCTGGCATGACTCCCCAAATGAGCTAGCTGACTGATTCAAAAGAGCCAAATTAAAACATCAGCCAGTTGGAAATGCTAGGTCATTTCACTGTGTGTCCTAAATGTTATCCTCTGAGTGCATCAAATGAAGTCACATACCCCCATGTTTTCTGGCAAAGCAAGTTAACAGCCTTTGTCTCTCCTAAGGAAAGCATTCACCTACTCTCTTCAGTTTCCCTAGTCTAATTAAATGAGATTAAACTACTGGCTTTAGTCTTGCACCTGTATCTCTAGAGTACTATCACCTCATATTAAACACTCAAGTCCAAAAGAAAAAATGGAAGTTTTCAGCACAATTTTTTTTTAAACAAGACTTGTCAAAAAATTGAAAACACAGGGAAGACGTGAAGAGCTTATAAAAATATTTTCAAATGTATAATTAAGATTATACCACTTCTGCATGTCAATCTCTCAATGCTTTCCATAATAATACTTTAACTTAATATGAAATACTTATTCCAAGAGAAATCATTAGAGTATTTGAATTCAAGATTTCACTCAGCCCTCTCATTCCCTTTCTGACTTAGGTAACTCCTCTGATTTATTCACAATCCTTGGTCTCATTTAGCACAGGACTGTACATGAAGGTCAGTGTTTTTAACCACATCTTTTACTAGTTTTATTTTTTTAATAGATCACAGAATTCTTGATTATCAACTACATGTGTTCCCCCCCCCAAAGAGAATACAATCTGCAACCACCATTTTCTCATTTGTTAGAGCACAACCATCACACAATCTCTATGGAAAAGTGGTTCCCCAAGCCATACTTTCTAGATTAAAAAAGATCCCTGTCAACTGGCAACCCCCTCTTCTGCTTTTTCATATTCATTGGCTGTTAGCAAGTAAAAGCATCATTTCCAAATATAACACAAGTTGTTTGTGGAAAAAAAAGGTGAAAAATATAAGAAGAGATGAGCAGAGGAATGACTCTGCTGAATTCATTATGAGCTTCTCTGAACCAGTATTCTAGCACTTGCATGGTCAGAGATGACAGCACTATCCCTGTCTGATACTCCACTCAATACCCACCTAAAATAAAAGATGCAGATGTGTTACAGTTAAAATACAGATCCTCTTATGACAGCTATGTCATTAAGGACATAGCTTATTTGCTTTCTTATCCAAGTGGCTCAGCTCTTCCACCAGCTACAATGGTTCACAAGAGTTACACCACAAGGTAGCTGCCCCAGTAGATACGAAGCTACTCCAGAAATTTTGCAGAGAATGAGCCAATCTGCTAGGTAGCTTTGTACTACAACAGCAGATTTTTACCACCATCAGTTGGCAAGTATGAATTTTAGGCAACTCCAGCTACCATTTAGAGAAGCAGTTCAGCACTCTCACTGCTGGATTATATCCACAGAGGGTAGTTAACAACAGTAGAGTCCTGCAGCGTCAAGTTCTTGCTGAACAACAGCTTAAGGGACTTACTAGAAGAAATAAGCATTTATGACTGGCAAGTATAATGTAGCATAACTTTTAGATTCACCAAAACTAGAGGGAGCCCCAGTTCAGATGAATATCTAGAATTAAAAGCTTCATGAAAATAGGCACTCCGAACTGATCAACTTCCTTTAAAATTAAAGTCAACTGCATTGAAAAAAGATGAATACAGTATCAATTCCATATACATAAACAAAAATTTAGGTTTTTGAGGGTTTGTTGCAAAGGCGTTCTGCAGGAGATCAGGTACCATATCCACAGCTAAAGACTACTTTAAGTGGTTCTACTTCTGCTGTACCGTAGGCTGTTTAAGATTTTAGGCTCGAGCACAGCACAAAGCACATAGAGTTAAGAACAGATGCTCTGCTTTTGATAGTCTTACATTTCTTTAGAAATCTCTCTTGGTCTTTTCTGAGCAAGAAAGGAGCATGGAAGAGGGGAAGAACATTTTTGCTTTCCTATTCCATTCTCAGTGCATGTCAAGTGACTTCACTCTTCAAACTCCTAGAAGAAGAATAAAATTGGATGCAAATATTTCCTTCCTGGCAGTTTATATTTGGATTCTTGGACAATCTAAGATTCACATAAAAAGGTCACTGGATAATGAATTAAACACTCCCAACACGATCATCATCAGTGCCACAGGCACAGGCTCTACCTGCCCATAACTAAGAGGGAGCACCCTTGATGTCTTTATGTTGAGCAGAACTGGAGCAGTAGCACTCCTCTTCATCCTCTACCTCCCCGGCACCTCAGCCAGAGTGGCTGTTTGTTTGTCTGTCAGAGGGACAGGGAGCTGCTTTCCTTCCAGAAGGCAAAAGGCACTATACAATTCCTGCATGCTCTCCAAAGCCTACATTAGGAAGTTTTCCGCACCTACCTGGGTTAAACTAGATGGACTATGTCTATTAAAATGCAGGAGGCACAGGAAAACCCTCACAGCTCATACCTACGATTTGCCTGTAGCTTCCAGACTGTTCAAATCACCAGAGCTTCAATAATATGCAAGAGATACGGTACAGATACAACGCTTTGAAACGTACAGTGGGAAAAACCTAAATCTGGATAAGTATTAAAACACAAATGCCTGATCAACCCCGCAGGCAGCCCTGGTTGTCTCGTCCTCAGGACACAGTGACACCACCCTCTTGCCCCAAACTCCAGACTGCACAGCCATCTGCTCTTTACTCCATCATGTCAGTGCCTGCAACACCACACAGCACAGGGCCCCTCGGGCTGTGCTTTTGAATCCGGCTGGGGCTGGGAGAAGGCTTTAGCTTCTTTCAAGTCTCCTTGTTTCCACATTGGTGACGCACAGAGTAATACAGGGCACCCAAAAGAGAAAACAGACCAGATTACACATCCAGTGAACGCCATGCCAAAGCGGAAGCCCAAGAGGTGACAACTACAACTATGTCCTGAGCTGTGGCACCAGCACAGGACACAAGGGGACTATGAGTGCCATGCATTAACCAGAGGATTTCAAATGAAACTGTGTTAGAGTAAGCAAGAAGCATTAACCATCAATGCAGTCCTGCCTGAGAAGTTAAGAGTGCCTTAGTCCAAGAGATTAATATGCATTTCCAGAGTTCAGAGAGCTTGTTACCTCTCGACAGTCCTCCACAGCACAGAAATACTTATCTCTAATGGGCTCACTGTAGGGGCATGGAAGTCCAATTACAAGCTCCCAGGTCTTCAGACTAAGGGTATGGGAACACGAGTAAGTTACTCTGAGGAACTCAGGGCGTGCTTGAGTTTCAAACACTTCAAGAATTTTCTGCAGAAACTGCCTGGGCACACAGTCTCATGCCTGCAGTAAATACTGAGCACTTTACTCACAGTATCACAGGCAGATGCTGTATGCACAGGCAGTTCATAAGAAGTAACTGACAGGAAGCACTACCTTCAGTTTTTCTCAACACAACACGGATGTGTGCTTTCACCTGGCTAGGACCTCTGCAGAACAGGAACTACTGGCCAGGGGAGTGGCTAAAGCAACACCCATGAACCGGGCAGCATTGACTCAATTTAAATCACGGGATTTAGTGTGACGGGAAAAACTGAGGCTCAAGACAGCACAAGGACTGGGTGCATTGGTTCAACTAGTACTGTAGCATCTCAAGGCAATTTGTTAAATCCCTGACAAAATAGATTGCTGGGGAACAGGAATAAGTCAAACCCGTGAAAGCTCTGTGGAGAAACTAGAAGTGAGCCTCTCCCATCCACGAGAATCTCTGCCACCATTTTCAGTCTTCAGTGGGCCCTTTTACTCGCCTTCTAATGGCTTCTGACACCACTCTGAAACATGCACACAGATCATCAGAACTAGCCTGTATTTTTAATTCCTTTAATATCAAAGCATCCAGCCAGCAGAATATCGTTATAGTTTTAGAAGCTGCACAACTACCTGTTAGTAAGGAGGCAGTTAATTCACCTCCTTCCAAAAAGGCCAAACAGTGATTCTTACACGT